GAGCTACAACAGGATGATAATTAGCATCTCAGGTCTAGGCTCATGATAAAGACAGGAACACTTCAGAAGTCACCGCCCAGAATGCAGTGTGGTGTGCATGTGCCTCAGGTCTAACTGTATCCACCTCTGGGGGTAAAAGTAAGCCAGATGTGAAAATGAGGGTATTTTTTGTTTTTAACACAAAAGATACATAGCCCAGTGCTGGTGGCTCATACCTGTAATCCTAGCTACTCAGGGGGCTGAGAACTGAAGCTAGCCTAGGCAGACAAACCAAAGAGACATCTTTATCTCCAATATGAAGCCAGATAGAATTAAAGATATAAATCAACGATGGTAAAAATAACTCTGAGGTTGTGGCATTAGACAACCAAAAATAAAAAATTATGTGACTGTAGACTATTTTAAGCGATTCATCACTGAACCTCTACCTATTCAGACACATGTAAAAATGGAAGTGTTCTACAGCCATTCAATGCATTAAGCATCCCTATAAAAATGATGCTATTTCAGTTTCTGTTTGTTGAGCAACAGGGTGTTAGCAGAAAATGATAATGCTAACAATAAATACAGCTTATACCCTAAAAGAAAAAGTCCTGTTGTATTCAACTGCTAAGACTCCGAAAAGGTCTGGGTTTTTTTATTTTTTAAAGCAAATGAAATTTTGTTTATGGACTTCTCATTTTTCAAATGTTCATTCCCCATTCTGCAATTCCAAGAAAGTTTCCTAGAGAGAAATGTATGCTTTGAAAGCTGAGGTTAGCACGAAGGATACCCTGGTCTTAATTCTAGACCTCTATCACCCCAATGCCAAGCATGCATGATCTGTGCCTATCTCCATCAGTCTTGTGCTAAAGATATGAGAATGCACCCCCAGCTGATTTTTTAAAATCTGCACATAGGCTGAAGAAATATTGGAAATGCTATGCAGTCACTAATTTAGCCACAGGTTGGCAAGCACAGAGAGAGCTAAGCTCAAAGATGGCTATATTAGGTGTGGAAAATACTCCAGCCACTGTGGCCTATGCCTCTGCCTCTAGAGCCAGAACACCCTTTTCAAAGGTACCTGGCATTTCAAGGTGGTAGAAACTATACAAACACACCCCATGGCAAACAAACGGGATCAGGGTATGGCTGGCAAGCAGGGCTCTGGTCCTGTCACTGACCCTAACAAAACAAACATGGGTTTCACAACAGTCATTGCTTAGCAGGGCAGAGCAGTAGGAGCAGGGAAGGGTGGGGGAAAAACAAAAAGTTAAAGGAACTTGAGTTCATCCAAAGAGGCAGCCAGTACTTCTGGGCAGATCTTCAGGGAAACCGTGACACTCACTTTTCTCTCAGGACACAGCTGGCCGAGCACCTTGGTGTTCCTCTAACAAGGACCTGGTGTTCTGTCCTGACAGGCACAATTGATACCTTTCTACAAACCCACAAGCTTTTCCCTGAGACCCAAGAACACTTGGCTCACTCCACAGGCTGCCAGTGTGGGTAGATTCACCTGTGTGACTTGGGCACTCTTCCAGATAATTCTCCTTCCAGGTGAGAATGACTTCTCAAATCCAAGACTCCCAAGGCCCTTCTATGTATAACCAGACCCAACCCAGAAGCCATGGCCACTTCAGTCATTTCAAATGCATTTGCGTTCCCAAGGCCTCAAGTATAGCACCAGTTACAACACTGGAGTCAACAGTCCTGCAGGTCATACACCACCAGAGACAACAAATCTTGTGGGTCCCATCAGTAAACTCTGACAATCCAGAGAACTAAGGCGAAGCCTGTCCCCATCCCAGGAGATGAGGGAGAGCCCAGGATGCATTCCTGCTGCATGGCCAGCCCCGCCTCTGCATGGCCAGCCATCGAGGCTAAATACACACACACTTAATTCACTGTGGGCCAGCTATGGAAAACTGTGGCCATTAAGTGCTCCTGACCCACAAGCACAACTAAGTTCCCCTCTGACACAGTGCTAGTCCTCCTCTATTCTCAGATGACCACAGCTGTAGCATTCAGTCTGTCCAGTGCTTGTCCTCCTCTATTCCCAGATGACCACAACACACTCCAGCAAGTTAAACTACACAATGAGGGTTCAAAAGCCTTATTATAACAACTAGAACTATGGCAAATTGCTGCACATCAAGAGACTAGAACCTGGACCACTTCTGATAGTCAACTAATAAAGGCATTTCACCATCTCAGGAGCAGCAGGTGTTTGTAACAGCAATAAGAGTTTTGGAAAAGCAAACAATCAACCATGGGTAACACGTGGGCTCACTCACATGATCCCCTCTTAACTAGATAGTTGCTCACCAAGGTGAGACCAAACCCACTGCCAGAAAACCTTCTCCCTCCTGATATCGAAGGGACACACCCAAGATTCAATGGGCCACCCTACTAAGTTCATGTATTAAAAGCTAAGTGTGGGAAAATTATGCAAAACACGTATCAACAGTGAAAGTTCTAAGAGCTGCCCTTTGCCCCACAGCTCATCCTCAAAGAGGGAGGACAGGAGCAGAGACAGGTGAGGAAGCCTAGACAGGCAGGAAGGTGCTGATGGCATACGGGAAGCACCCTCACAACCTGCAACTCCACACTTACTATCAGGCTAACTTCTACAGAAGCAGCAGCTATGTTTTGGTATTAAAATACCTACTTTCTTAAAATCCAGAGGTGACTGCATTTTTTGGATGGGCAGTAGGCAGAAAAGCCATATGGAAGAGACAGGGACAGAGGAGAAGTTGTAGGATGGTGATTATTCCCAGGAAGGCAGGTAGAGAGAAGAATGGGAGAGTTGGGGATGCTGAGTGGGTCTTTCAGAAACCAGAGGCTGAAGCAAACATCAATGATAGAACTTTATCATTTGTCCTGTCTGGGTAATGGGTACCTTTACTTTTCTATTTATTTGAAGTACCTCATAGTTAGAGGAAATTTTAAGTGAATTGTAGAAATAAAAGACACAAAGAAAATGTGTGTTCATATCTAAGCAATGCTAACAGGCAAAGTCCATCTGTGCTGCATTGATTAAATATGATTACCAAGCAACATGATAGATACTCTTGTCTCTGGGAAGGTTACTCCAAGGTCATGCACACTCAAGGCTGATCCCACTTTACAGCTCTCCCTTCAACTGGCACAGCTTCTGATGTCACCCTGGTGATGAACCTCTCTGTACATTTTTCCTCTGCTGGATGAAAATACAAGCTCACATGGGAAGCTGTACTGAAGGGTGATGCTGGAGTCCAGGAGTCTGCCCATGGTGGCCTGGCATGCAGAAGCTCCACCGGACCCCTGTGTCAGTGACACCGGCGTCCATATTCTGCTGACACTCAGAAGCCAACAGCTGTTATCACAGACAGAAAATGCCCCAGATACACAGCCTCCTCCTCCCGGGTCCCTACCAGCCAGCCCCAGAGAGTGTCAAGGTGGCCTCTGTGGCCCGTCAGCAGTCTGTCCAAATACCTGCTTGGATATCTGCCTTCCGTGAGGACACCAGATTAGAAACACAATGCACAAAGCCTAAGGAGACGTGCTACCATCTCACCACATTAAAAACACACAAATACCACAGAAGTGGCACACTTCTGAGGCCCAGCCCACAGATAAGAGTGCAGGATTCCTATGTTTATTAATAAGACTGGCACCATTGAGCCGTGGCAGTTATTAGCCTGAGCTAAGTGGTAGGTGCTCGATTTCCACAAGGCCTGCTCACACAGCCCACCCGACCATCACTAACTCACTCCACTTTCCACACAACATTTTGAAGGTACTGGTACCTAACGGATTCTCCACAGAACAAAACTGGAAGGTGGGAAGGAGACAGAGGGAAAGGAGCTGGTTTCTGGAGCATTAGAAGAGGGAGGAAGAACGTGAACCAGAGTCATCCTCACCACCGGCATGCCATGGCCCCACCATGACGCTGGCCACAGCATTCCAACCCACACAGCTCTTTTCCGATGCTGAGTGCCTGCACAGACTCTGTACAATACTCTGTGTGGCTTAAAGGGAACTCTGCTCTGACTTTGCCTCAGGACTACTGGAGGTGTACTGGCTTGTTTTGGATGCAATGTGACCCCTACCCAAGCCAGCCATGAGAATGCCTTCCAGCTTGCTAAAGCATGAGACACCCATAAAGGCCAGGCCCAAACTATGAAGTAAACTCAGCACCACACTGTGACGTTTTATATGGCTTTAGAATGGAATACAAGTCAGATATACACACAAGATGCCCAGAAACTAGATGTTCATAAATTGACTTCAAGAAAATAAACATCTAAGGAATCTTAGGAAGAACTGTACTGCACTCCCTGTGTGTAGACAGAGCAACTGTGATAAGGCTCAGAATGTGTCACCCTTACATCATACACTGAACTCAAAAGAAGCAGGAACAGGTGCTGAACAAGGAGACTTTCCTGAGCCCACAGCCTATCAGTCTTAAGACAAGTCATTTTGTCAAACCTACCCTTTGGCATCAGTGTCAGAGTTTGTGGTCATATTAGTGTCTGCAGTGTTGAGAAACCCTGCAACCTAAAGAGGCTTTCTCCTTAGGGTTACAGGATCAATAGGCCACATTTATGCCTAATTCCCACAATGTGGTCTTTTGCTCCCACAGATTTAAAAAAAAATCAGGTAAGCCAAGCATGGTGGCTCATGCCTATAATCCTAGCTACTCAGCAGGCTGAGATCTGAGGATGAAAATTCAAAGCCAGTCCAGGCAGTAAAATCCATGAGCCTTTCCAATTAACTACCAAAAATCTGAAGCAGAGCTGTGGCTCAAGTGGTAGAGTGCTAGCCTTGAGCACAAAAGCTCAGAGACAGTGCTCAGGCCCTGAGTTCAAGCCTCAAGACCAGCATGGAAGAGACAGAGATAGAGGTGGGGGGGAGGGAAAGGGAGAGGGAGAGAGAGAGAAACAGACAGACACAGAGAGGGTACAAGGAAGAAAATCAGATATAGAGATTCATGAATGACCTTCAACAAAATACCCACACCTAAGGAAGCCCTCACTCACCACAGAGAGCTGGCTCCAGGTGGACCTCAGGGGCTTGTGGTGGATCACGATTTTCCCTTCTGACTTCTGTTCTCTGGGCTCGGACTCTTCATCAGAGTCAATGTCAAGAGCCTTTTCTTTGTAGTTTTGATACAGGACTGCATTTTCTGCTAGAAAACAAGGCATCAATGACTCCCAAGCATTAGCTCACTTGTTCTAAACCTTCCTGTTCACATGTTGGCCTCTGCTTTAATGAGTGACGGAAGAAAGATATTCTATCACTGAAGAATGACATAAGATGTTCCAGTTGAGAAGCCCCTGTGTCTGTACCCTGCCCCTAGGACCTCTGACCTCCTTGGTCAGGCTGTCCAGGGAATATGGCCCCAGTTCCTCCTATCCACCACTCCTTATCAGTCCAGCAGCATGGCTACCATGTCCAGGTCTGACAGAAAGGAGAGCAAGACACCTCCCAGGCCCTCGGGAGCTGGGATTGCAGTGAAGAAAACCGTCAAATTCACCTGCTGACATTAGAGAATGAATCTGCATGCCAGCCACTGCTGTACACTGGGAGCACGAGGAACAAAAATCTTAAAAAAAAAAATCTCAGTCTTCATGTGGTAAACTTTGGTGGTGTTTTAGGTGTGGCTATCTGTCATGGTGGGGTGGAGAGGTCGGAGGACATGCGGATGGTAAGGAGCATCGTTCAGACAGCCTAAGGCAGTGGACACTTATGACATGACACAGAGGAGTGGGAGCCAGGCAAATCCAGGGAACAAGCAGCTCCCAGGAGCCAATGACAGGCTTGAAGGCTATGGCAGGATCTGCTTGGTAGGCTGTATGTACAGAAGAGCAGGGAGGCTGGAGAGGCTAGCGTGTCATGAGGGAGGGGATGGACAGGATGGAGGGGAGTGGGAGGGGAGGATAGGGCAGATCGTGCCTTGGAAAGAGCTTTGATTTTTACTCTAAGTGTGAGAATAAGCTTTTGGAGGCCACAGCAACCTGACATAAATACATACCTACACAGGGGAGGAGGATTTATAAACATAAGCCCTGAGATCAGACTGTCAGTATAACCTAGCTGGGGGTCAGAGAGGGGTCAAAGAAGAAAACCCCAGATGAAAAAGTCTGTCAGCAGCAGAGATGCAGAAAAGGAAAAGCAAGTATACAAACTGAGAAGCCAGAGCAAGCTCTAAGGAAGGAAGGTTGGTGGGGCTGCAGCTCAGCGGTCTGAGGCTAAACAGTGCAAGGCAGGTTTAGGGAGATGAGCCAGTCCACATCCAACAAGGCTTTTTCTGGCCATGAGGAAGAATGGGACAAAAAGACTGAGCTTGTTCACAGTATAAGGATTGTTATCTTGCCCTGACAACTGAGTCCACTGGAAGAAAAGATCTGCTTAGACTGGAGAGTAAAATACTAACTACTTAAGCGAGTAATTATGGTGCAGTTAGATGCCTAATGAAAACTTGACCAGTTACTTGGAAAGAACTCCTGAGATGCTATGGGGGGGCGGGCAGGGGCCAGGGGGAGCTAGAGGAGGGAGGTGGTAAGAATGGCTCCTCAGGTCCACAATTAGAAAGTAGGAGACAGTCAGAAGACGAGAGAGCGGGGATTCAGGTTGACTGGGGAAGGTAACGGATTAAGTTTGAGATTTGGAGAGTTTGCAATCTGCCTCTATCACCAACTGCACATGGTTTTCTAAAGCCATGCCAGAGGCCAGGCAAGGCTGCGCTGTTCTCCAACTGTTCTGCATATGAAAACCAGATTTGCAGGCTGGAGTTTCCCTCCAGTCTTGGAAGGTCTTTGCTCAGTGCCAGTCCTCTGACAAGCAGAAGCAGGTCGGTGACCCGTCCTTCAGAAAGGGACGGACACAGGTCCTCACTGCTGCCCTGCCCATGCTGCTTCCTGAGCTGCTAAGCATCCTGTATTCTCTGCAGACATGTATGTGAGAAAGAACTGTCTGGGTTCTTGACATTCTTTGTATTACCCTGTGTTCCAGTTCCCTCCATGATAAGATCTGGGCCATGAGTTTACCTCAGCTAGCTAAAATACTAGTCTAGATCGCTCTACATAGCAATTGTTAGTCCTAAGACAGGTGTAACGACTGAATTTTATAAATTAGTCATCTTTACATGCTCCAGTGACAAAGCCATCTTCACAGAAGTTATTCAGGGAATTGTGCTTGCCAGCATCCAGGTTACACAGTTTGTAACTCTGGGGTCTCACATTAGCATTACTGGTCCAAGGGTATGGTTTCCATCTTTCTTTCAAGCTTTTAAAACATGAGCATTTCAAAGCATGACAGAAAGTAAGTACAATCCTTAACCAGGGGCCCTCTAGCCCCAGCAGGGGGCAGCTGACCGGCTCTTCCAGTCCTTCAGTGGACACTTCACCCATCTATTTACAGAAAGCCCACTAATCTGATTAGGTTTCTGACACCTGGTGGAAGCTGCCTTTGTTTTCAAAAGCCTTCATAGAAATACTACAGAGGTAACAAATCCTTCAGATGTTTTTGTCAGCCAAGAGAACTCTATTTCCCCAAAGCTGAAACTTAGTAAGGTAGCAGGAAGTCAGCAATGAAAATAAAACCTGGAAATACGGGGAAGAGAATATCAAATCAAAGGAAATGAGACTCAAGGAAACAGGCCATGAGATCCAAATGCCAACTACAGAGTTTTTAACAAAAAAGAGGTGCAACTTGCTCTTACTTTTTCTGATGTTTTGAAGGAAACGGGATGGAAATTATCTGAGTTACCAACATATAAAAATGCCATTGTTTCATATGTTGTTGGCAATTAGTAGAAAAAGAATCAGCCTCGTTGCACAGCTTTGGAGTATATAATGTGGGAAGAACTTGGGCATATCATTCATCACCTGTGGTTTTTTTTTTCTGCAGTTGGATTTCTACGAATAATTGATATTCTGCATTGAAGCCACAGTAAAAGTCTGGAAAAATAAATGCTTACCTTCTCCATCAAACGTTCCTTGTCCTTTCAGCATTTTTTTCTAAGAGACAAGAAAAGCAGGGAAAAAAAAGAAGAGAGAAAGAAAGAAGAAAGCAAAGCAAACTTTGTATGATTGAGTCCACATAAAACAGAGCTATCACAAGTAAAATAACTTCTTTGTAGTTGCACTCAGCAAGGCGGCAGGGCTGTGGTCCCCTGAGGAAGGCAGCAGAGGCCCGTGCCCCTCCCCACCTGCAGGGCACAGAAGTGAGTACAACTCCTGGGCTACAGCAGGCAGTAATATTCTGCACCCTGATCTGAAGTTCTGAGCTAGTAGTTTGTTAAACACACCCAAGGATTAATGGGCAGAAAGTGGGGGGGGGGTGTTGAACCAAAGGCCATGGTGACAAAATGACAGTATCCCAGATCTTCTCTGACTGGTTTTAAAACTGGTCAGGAAACCAGGAGCACAGCAGAAGTGACCGAGCAGGCTGACACGGGGGCCAACGCTGACCAGTGCCACCCCTCTCCCCCGCCGCCGCCCGCAAATCACCGGGGCAGGAGACCGTCGCAGGTGCGGGGCGGACCACCCCTTCGGCTCGCTGAACACGAATGGGTCTGCAGCCGATTCTTACACTTGCTGGGAAGTTCTGGTCCCCAGACCTTAGTTCAGAAGTTAGACAAGGACGCTTCCCTTCTTTCCATGAAGTTGCATTAACCCCCAGACCCGGGAACCCCGCCGCGCGCGCGCGCCCACCCGCCTCGCCTCACCTTGACCCGGCCCAGGCTGGAGAACTTGTCCCGGTCCTCCGCCACGGCCTTCAGCAGGGGCTGGGACAGCCGGTTCTTCTTCTTGGAGCTGGTGGGGTTGTCCAAGTCCAGGCCACTGACCACGGCCCTGCGGTAGGAGGTGGAGCGCAGGCCCCGGCGCAGGGTCCCCGGGCTGTCCGCCTCGCGCTCCGCGACGTCCGCATCCACGTCCGCGGCTCCGGCCCCGGGTGCCTCCGCCAGGCTGCGCACCTTGAGCGCCCTCCGGCGGGGCTCGGCGCCCGGGCCGCCCCGGCTCTCCGAGGCCAGCGCCCGGGGGATGATCTGCCGCCGGCCCAGCTTGAGGGCGGCCGGGCTGTACGTGCTCAGCACTGCCGCGGGCGGCTCGCGGGGCGAGTCTGGGTCCGGATCCGGATCCAGGGAGGGCGGCCCCGACGGCGAGTTCGCCGAGGGCGAGTCCGCGTCCCGGCACCTCCGCGGGGGCATGGGGCCGGGGCTTCGGGGCCCCCGATCGGGGTCCTGTGTCC